TACGGCTAGACTGAGAGTCTAGCCGTACTTAAGTACGGCTAGCCTCTTCCATAATAAATTGAAACTGAAACTGTGTTCTCAATGTGTATCTAACAATTTTTAGGCTGCCTAAATTTCTTTTAAACTTTTTTTGGGTGGTTTTTGCTTCAGGCTACATTGATTCCTTGAGGAATGAAGAATTCAATGCACTTTTCCATTTCTATGCGGGCCATTTTCATCAATTTTATGTTTTCTTAAGAGCAACTTTGTATCTACATTTTTCAATTTGGATACTCTTTCTGTAGAACTTTCCGACCTCTATGACTGACTTACATTTGATCACATTGCTTGCTCAAACAAGTTCTATTCGTAATATCACTTACCCACTAGTTGCGTCTGTTCGTTTGGGTTGTTTTTTGTTCAACTTCACGGACCATTTCCACCGTTCAGTGCGTACATTGTATATTCAAATGCTTTGTATACTGTTTACAATTTTAGTAATAAATAGCCTAATTTGTCAAATATATTGGTTAAGTTATAAAATATGATTTTTTGCACAAGCGCTGAAGTGTTTTAGCATATTAGCAGAAAGTACTCAAAATGTACTCATAAGTACTTTTTAAAAAAGTACTTGTACTCAAGTACATTTTATAGGAAAGTACTTTTACTGTACTTAAGTACATTTTTTAGATTGTACTTAAATTTGTACTTAAGTACTTTTTAAAAAGTACTTTAACAGCTCTGACTGCGTGTATTATATTATAATATATTACTTTATATATATTATAATATATTACATTATATCATCTTATAAAACATTATATAACATTTTATCATGTTATATATTATATTATATTATATTATATTATATTATATTATATTATATTATATTATATTATATTATATAATGATATATTAAATAGTATTTTCTTCTATATTACGCTATATTATATTATATTATATCATAATTCTATTGTATTTTGCTATATTGTATTGTATTGAATTATATTATATTATATTACATTATATTATATTATATTATTTTATATTATATTATATTATATTATATTATATTATATTATATTATAGTATAGTATAGTATATTATATTATATTATATTATATTATATTATATTATATTATATTATATTATATTACATTATATTACAATATATTATATTATACTATTATATATTATATTGTATATATTATGTTATATTATATTACATTATACTAAATAATATTAAAATATGTTATATTATATATTATTATATTATATAATTTTATCTTATATTTTTCTACAATCATATTATATTATATTATATTATACTATAATAATTATATATTATATCATATTACATTATATTATATTATAATATATTATTTTACATTATATTATATTATATTATATTACATTATATTACATTATATTATATTATACCATTATATATTATATTATATATATATATATATATATAATGTTATATTATATTACATTATACTAAATTATATTAAAATATGTTATATTATATATTATTATAGTATATAATTTTATCTTATATTTTTCTACGTATTATTATGTCATGTTATATTATTTTAAATTACATTATATTATATTATTTTGTATTATATTATATTATATTACATTATATATATTTTTATACTATATTATATTATATGTTACTATATGCCTAATTTTATTCTATTTTATTTTGTTCTCTATCTAGTTATATTATACTTTATTTCATTCCACTTTATCTTACTTTATATTTTATTTTATTCTGCCTTATTTTATTTTGTGAAATTTTATTCTCTATCTTATTGTATTGTATTCTATTGTATTCTACTCTATCGTATTTTATTTTATTTTATCTTATTCTGAATATTTTTTTCTCTATCTTATTGTATTGTATTTCTTTTTATTCGACTCTATCTTATTTTATTTTATTTTATTTTATTCTGCCTTATTTTACTTCATTTTATTTTATTCTTTATCTTATTGTATTGTATTTTATTTTAATCTACTCTCTCTTATTTTATTGTATTTTATTTTATTCCGCCTCATTTCATTTTATTTTATTTTATTATGCCTTATTTTATTTTATTTATTTTTAGTCTAGGTCTTATTTTATTTTATTCTCTATCTTATTGTATTGTATTGTATTTTATTCTACTCTATCTTATTTTATTTTATTTTACTTTTTTCTTCCTTATTTTATTTTATTCTGATTTATTTTATTTTATTTTAGTCTAGGTCTTATTTTATTTATTTCTCTGTCTTATTATTGTATTGTCTTGCATTTGATTCTACTCTATTTTGTTTTATTTTATTTTATTTTATTTTATTCTGCCTTACTTTATTTTATTTTATTTTATTGTCTATCTTATTGTCTTGTATTTCATTTTTATTCTACTCTATCTTATTCAATTTTATTTTATTTTATTCTGCCTTATTTCATTTTTATTCTATTTTATTCTGTCTTATTTTATTTTATTTATTTTTAGTCTAGATATTTTATTGTACTCTATTTTATTTTATTTTATTTCATTTTATATTGCCTTATTTTATTATTTTAAATTTTATCCTTTATCTTATTGTATTGTATCTATTTATATTCTACACTATCTTATTTAATTTAATTTAA